ACAACTCTGACATCATCATCAAGAATAAGAGACTAGGTTGGACAGTGTGTCACTAAGACTAGGTAGGACATTAACACAGACTAATGCTGGTATTTTTAAAATGAACCATAGTCAGACTTTTAACTAGAATTTTAGCTAACATACTTTTATTATTGACAAGGGTTTATGAGGGGGCGTTTATTCAAGGGAGTATTTATTCATGGAGACATTTATTCGAGATTGGCATTTATTTGTTTTGATATAAAATATATATGTATAGGCCTACATTCAAATAGATATTCCTTAAATTCACTACAAATGTGGAACTACAAAACACGTAATTACTGTACCACCAATAACTTACTGATCTCAACTAGGTTGTTAAAAAAACATAATTCTATCGGAGTAGAATTAATAGAATGTGTTGAAAATAATGCTACATTCATTAGTTTTGTTGTTGTTTATCAGAGGAAAATTAAATGGATCAGGGCATTTTATTCAAATAAATGTGGTAAAGAAACATAAATACAGTGTTCGAGTAAAGGACATGATAGTACATCTTGTAGCATAGCTCTCATCAATTGTTGTCCTATAAATAAATAAATACAGTGTGTAATACAATTCCCCGACGGGATTCGAATCTGCGACCTTTCGCTGTCAGGCGGGCGTCATAACCATAGGACCACAGAGGCTTCATGGTTGAACAGATTCAAGTAACAGTGAAGAACCTGTCTCTTATACACATCTAGATGTGTATAAGAGACAGAATATGTTGGAAAAATGTAACCAATTTCATTTGCAAGTCATTCATGTTTAGATAACTCATTAAGGCTTCATTAATCCTTATATAGGTTACAACAAAGTACCAATACAACCTTGAATCAAAATTCAAGACCTTTTTAAAAACAACCTGGAAAAGCAAAGACTTTTAAGTCATAGCTCCTTTTTTGTGATGATTCAGTCTTCAAAGTCCTGAATATATTTATTATTTAACACACCTGCCAATAAGTAAACATAGCTATGAAGAGCCATAAATCCAGAACAAATTAATTATTTTACGCTAAAAAAATCAAGTGTTCAATGTGACATGGATCTTGTGTCAATCATGGAAAAATTCTTGTAGAAGAAAATTAATTCATAATTAAATTCTTTTAGGGTTGCACTATAGACCACTGGCTCATTTAACATAAATAGAATCGTTATTCAAAAACTGTTTGTTTAAGTCTGTGTGTGATTGCCTAAACACGCATGGCTGTAACACACGAATCATGTGTGCATGAGAATCTCCGCAGTCTTAAATTGTTATTTCTAGTTCCCATCATCAAGAATATTTTGATTGCTCATGCCTAAAGTTAGCTAAACAACGCCTTGTCATCAGACATTGATTTTATTCTGATCGAACAATCTGTAGGAATAGGTTTCAGAATTGTTGCAGAGATCTCTAGTGCTCACTTCAATGTAAGTCTGAACAAATTACGTTTGCATTTGGATTTTTTAGCAGTATTTAGCAGTATGTGATATGTTTTGATTACTGTGAGTTATATATATATATATTATTCTAATCCTAATATTCCAATTGGCATGATGATATAATGTTAATAAAAATAATTAAGAAAAAGTTATATTTGATGATACTCAATTTAAGATGTTCATTAGCTCTTATGACATTGCTACTACTTTAACGAATCTTGTATGCATTCATATTATCTAGTTAAGACTAGCTCTTCACTGAGTTCCCTAAAACTACTTCAAAAGGTGAAATTTTAGATACCCCCACCCCACAAATTTAACGCAGTAGTTTTAGGTGGTCTTACAGAAGCAAGGGCATAGCCAGCGAGCCCTCCGGCCCTCTTTTCGACAGTCAACAGTTATTTAGGATGGCCACTTTTACCTGGTCTACCTTTAGCAAATTCTTTATATTCTTCAAATCTATCAAATGTTGCATTAAACTAAAAACATATCACGTTTGAAAAATAACCTTGAATGTACATAGTTTCATACCAACATTCGGTGGGGATTCCCAAAAAGGTAAGGCTAAACCCATGTCTACCCGGTGAAAATTTCACTAAAACATGTGTATGTCATGTTAAAAACATTTATACCCCGCTGGAAAATGGACGGTTCTAAGTTGCCCACAACGCATGCACGTGGCTCTGCAACAGTACTTGAGATATCGTTTTTGTTCGTAACTCCCTGGTTATAATTAATTCATCAAATACCGATTTGTTGTTAACATCACAAGTAAAATTTAAATAGTCAACAAAGTACAGTACGCCTAGGCCTATATGTCTCTCTATTCGGAGGACCTAGAGTAGAATTTACACTGGACTAGGGCGAGAGATGAAGATGCATCTGCATAGCCTAAAAAAATGGTGCGAGTAAACAACCGTTTGTATGTCTATAACTGAAATATCTTGATGATAGCTAATTCAACACTATTCCTTTGAAGACAAAATTCCAACATTTAAACACTTTTAAATGCACTCTAAAGGTCATAATTTTCTATATTTTTTCTTACGTACAGAGGGGGACACCTCGTCCCAAAACCCACCCCGCTCGGGGCTACGTCCCTCGGCTGTCGCTATGTGACAAGTTCTTCGTCTGCCATTTGGACGGCCTATTTCATTTTTTCTGCTAAACCCCTGTATAGAAGGTTGATTGTTGTCAATATTTAGGTTTAAAAGGCGAAAGTAGGTTTAATTCCTTGTCCCTGCACTCGTTCAGGACTACCAGAATGGTTGATTTATCATTATCTGGTCTGGGTGGATCAGTAGTATGGGGTCTTTATTAAACCAAATACTAGTAGGAGCCAAGGAGCCATAATAGGCCTACATGTCTAGTCAATACAGACACACTGACTGGACTTCCCAGAGACAATGAGCATCTCTTAAAACAATGTTGAGGTGCTAATGGTGTTGGCCACCATCAAGTACAAAAAAATAACTCTTAAATACTCTTAAAAGCTACTACTGTAGACCAAAATAATTGATGTGTTGCCCATAGATTACTAATGTAATCTAAGGGCTAATGTATCTAAATGATACCCTAACACAGACATCCATTTTGTACTGTACAATCAGACCATATGCAAGTAACATAGTTAAAATAAGAGGCACATGTTAGAGAACTAAGCACACGATGCATTCACTGGTTATTCAAATTCACTCTTTATTTACTATCTAATCTAGGCTTGCTTAGGTTGGCAGAATTTACTGCAGAACTGTGCTTTAGAAAGGAACCTATTTTGCTGGGTTTGTCACCATTACAATAAAATACCTAGATAGTGAGCTAGAAATACTATCAGACCAGCCAACCATCAATCCAGATGTAACACAACAATATATTGTATTGGCCTTAATAATTTGTTTGTCTCAATTTATAAGTCATATGAAATGATATATGGATATGTTTATGTATGGAATTTTGGTTATCATAAATCAACAGCTGCCTGTATGAATGAATGATGAGTTTTATTCTTTCACAAAAGGCCACCAAATTATAATTCGTATTAAAAATATTCAATTTATAAAAAAAGAAATGTTTATCTCTGTATTTAATAATTTCAAATAAATTTTATAGACAGCATTCGTTTATGTGTACGGTATTATAAAAAACAACATTCCATTGCCATATACAATTTCTCTCAAGACTCACAAAACTGTTCTGATTTTAGTGGAAAATAACCAGATTCTTGAAATAGAATAAATTAATGTTAATAGTATATTGAGAAATTTGATAAAGAGTAGGCAAAATGGAAATGATAAAATAAAATATACAAAATATATCAAGAACTTGAGCTGTATATAGTGCAGGTACAATTCTGCTTTATTATTATTAATTTCTGAAGTATAATGTTTTCCCAACACGTTATCCACATTATTAACAAGGTACAGTACAGTGCTGTGCTACAACATGTACAATATTGGTGGTGGCAGCAATACCACAGTAAATCATCAGTTTATGTGATTTATCATAATTAAGTAATAGTCCCAATGAGTCTCTTTTTTTATAGCCAGGTAAATTCATTCTGGCACTCAGTGGCAGACAGACTACCTTTAGACATTCCATGAGAGCTGGTAATTACACTCAGGTTGTCCCCTGTACTTTTTGCACATAAATACTGTATCATATTTTGCAAGCATTGAATTGTTTCCCTTCAGAATTGTTTTAGCTAAATGCCGTACGCGTGTCTGGATCACTCCATTCTCTGTAGGACTTTGTATTAACGTGGAGAGCATACCTGCCTCTGTTCAACTATTTCCATTGTGTTTATTACCAGTATTGTTAGTCTTGATAGCTGAGCTATTGATATGGTCATCAAGGTTGTTGTGTTTCAAAGAAAACAATACACAGTAGTTTTGAAGGGTCACCAAAAGAATTTGCCTACTGGTGTGCAAGTGAGCAACAAAGGGATATTTTTAATGCAATTTTCATTTGCTGTGTGGTTTATGTGAAAGACGGTTGACATTTTTACTTTAAATTGCTGCTCAGGTTAGTTTTTGTGGTGCTGTAATTATAGTGAGAGTTTTAGTATTTGATTTCCATCATTCAAACAGTTATTAAAACAAATATTTGATTTTATATACTCTTGTTTTTAAACTACTTTCTAGTAGAAATAGTACCTTTGTGTTGAAAGTGCATTCAGTATTATAATAATAACTGTACTGATAGTTTCTTCAGTGGGATTACAATGATAGATGATGCTGTAGTGTAATAAAATGCTCAAAGAAGATAGTTGATTTTCTTAAATCTACTAGCTTGATGCATAGTATTTCACAATAATTGGAAAGGTTTCTGTATCGATGTTACGGAATAGACTACTGTATTTTTTTTGATGTGCATGTATTGACTTATCAAATATATGAGAGGCAAAAAATATGCTTATGTTATAATATATGAAAGGTTATATAAAGAATGTTTTAGTGATGCCATCTCTACAATGTTTAATGATGGTGGAATGATTTATAATCTACATTGGCAGATTATTTATTTTCTATGCACAATTAAATTTTTTCTTGTAGGCACACGTGGTGGCAGCTTTTGAGCAGAGTTTGTCTAGTATGACAAATCGTCTGCAAAAGTTATCAACAACTTCAGAGCAGAAAGAGAGTGAACTTCAGGAGTTGCGAACCCGTATTGAGCACCTTAAAGACCAGCAGTCCGACAGAGAGGGCACACTTAGAAGGCATAGTTCTGCTTCCCGACACAACTCAAGTAAGTTAATTAATGTTAATACAAACTCCTAAATGCTTTAAACAGTTCCAAGATGGATGGTTGAATGCACAGCTCCAGAATTTTATTTTTGAACAACAATATGAATCTACTTGTTAATCCTCAAAAGAGTGTTAGTATAGAATATCATTTAAATTGCCTGCTTCTCTCCCTTGGCCTCATAAATGTATTGGTTACAGATCATTTATAATCCCAAATGATCCATTCCCACCCTCTTAGAGACTTGTAGTAGAGTATCAAGAGTATTAATTGATTAGCTTTTTAGTGCCTTATAGACTTACTTGAAGAGATAGCATCAAGGAATATCAAATAATTATCATCCTTGGTATGATGTTACTTCTCAAACTTGTGTAATGTGTACGGTGTATATTTAAAATGCCATTAAAACCAAAAGATAAGAAAGTTCGTATATTTTTAAAAATATGTTTTGAAATGTTTATCAAAGTACTTAAACATAATGAATGATATCTTCATCTCATTATTCAGCATCTTCCAATTTGTCACGACAGCAGTCGTCAGAAAGCATTTCCAGTATCGGAAGTCTTAATAGCATGTCAAGCGTTGGCTCTGCCATGACAGATACCGAAATTGATAAAAAGAAAAAGAAAAAAAATTGGGTAAGTTCGCTTAGATTGTAGTTTGGTAATTTTTGACATGGTTCATCTTCAACCACTTTTTTTTAAAAATAATAATTATTACTTATATATATTTATAGTTAACTGGGATCTACAACTGTTAAAACCCAAAATCTTTACTGCTTTACAAAGGTTACTGCATAACAGCAAATCAACACTAATAGGGATGTAATTTAGGGCGGATGCAGGTGGGATACAATCGCACCCCCTAAATTGTATTAAGAAATGTATTTTTAATATATTGTTGATATGAACATAATCTGGTTAGTAAGAGAGTGCAGTACTGGTTAGTAAGAGAGTGCAAATTTCCGGGCACATAGATGTCCATATTCTCAAAATGTTCGCACCTCAGCCCCAACCATGGTGGGGCTGAGGTCATGTGGTCTGTCATGTACCTCCTATCAACAAATCCTGCATCAGCCCCAGGTAATTAAAGTGCTCAATTTATTACCTATTACTATTAAGGTTGGGAAGAGATGAAAAGGAAATGATGCTTCCCAGGAGTCTACTACCCGATTCACACGTACAAAAATCTTACCAAATGTAACAAAATGTAACCAAAAGTAACATTTTACGGCACGTGTGAAAGTACCTCCGTGTAATATCCTTGTAAAATCTCGGAACGTCTCGGTAATCT